CCAGGTAAAGACTTTGTGCGTGTGTCCAATCTCAGTAAATGCAGACTCCACTATGCACAACACCGTCAACCATTCGAATGCGTTTTTTTTTTTTTTTTGAGGAAGAGTTTAGAGTTCTGTCACTCGACTACACAACTATGCTCAAAATGTTTTGGCAACTGGAAAAGTCATGTGAGTTCAAGAAAAATGTCTGAACAGTTAGCAGTCAAGCCTGACCTAGACATCCTGTCCATCAGTAAAGCTCAATTTATTATCAGATAGAGTGTCCCCCGAAATCAGTCTTAGAAATAGTGATAACTGCAGCAGTCCCTGCTGAATCATCGTTCACTACTCTTTCCATAAGCTCCAAAGCATCGTTTTTACACAAACAAGGCTCCCAAATAGATGATACACTGAAGTAAGTCCACCATAACTGTACAGCGAACAACCAGCAATGAATTAGAATGCCCATGAAATATGTAACTACGTATATGAATTAACACAGCTGTCTCCTCGGCCTTCAATGTACTGCCGGATCATACTCAGTCCTCCTTTTGTTGAGTTGCACTGCAAGGCCCTCACCAATCGTTGTGTGGCATGATACCCGTAACAGCATTACCTTCCATCTGCGTCCACCAAGCAATGTTATAGCAAGCTGATTGCTCCAGTATTGTCCGAGGACTATCATGGGATCCACCCATATCATGAGCTGAACGTGACCCTGGTACAGAAAATATATAAGACTATATTCAGTACTTTGGCCACCAGTCTTATGTACAAATGTGAAAATGTAAAGTAATTCTATTGAACACTAGAAAGTATATTTAACAAATGAAAATAAAAATAATTATCATCAATATAGATAATAATTATTTCTCAACTCCCCCTACTTAAAAATGCATGTTGTAAAAAGTGTGCAAGGTTCCTTTGTATTTATTTGTTTGTTGTTGGTTTTCAATAACTGTATAAACTTAGTACGGTCCGGGTGATTAAAATAGTATGGTGGAATATATTTCTCTCTTGGATCCAAATACTGTGGACAATAAAGTAGGAAATGAAACTAGTCTTCAACAAGATTCTTACAGAATTTACATAATCTATATATTCTAGGTACATTTTCTCTTCTTCCTGTCTAAATATAAAAATTGTGGGCTGAAATTCGTAAGTTACGTAACTCCCTTCGTAAATAGCTTTTGACTACATTGGGTATATATTCTTCAAAACCAAATATTGTTTTAAAAGATCTGTACATTCAAGTTTTGAACTTTCATTTAGCTCAGTGAACCATTCTGGATATCAAATAGTAGATAAAATATAAATGGCTTACTAGTATTAGGGTCTGACATACAAGACAGTTGGCAGCTTTATTTAATACAAAATCGCTACCTGTTCCGAATCTGAATTTGATCCAGAAAACAAAATGAAATGAGGTTGAGGATGAGGTTTTTGAACTTTGTTCTAACGGGCACTAATTAATTCACTAATATTGGAAGCATAGCTCAAACACCATAAAACATATTCAACAATGAATGTGTATCTCATCAATTATGCAAACATGTATGAAACAATTATCTCAAACATAACCTGAAATGGTAACACATTATGATGTTCACAAAAAATGTTAACACCACATCAACGACAACAAGACATACATCTTCTGTTAAAACAACATCGACAACAAGATATAGGTCTTCTGCTTTCATAATCATGTTGCCTTGTGGGAAGAATGAATGATTATGGAATTCTTAGGATCAGAGTTTTCTAATAGTTCCCAACAGCAATAAATTATACACATCTTTTTACTCTCATCTTCACTGTACACAATTTTGAGATACAAAACCTGTTAACCACATTGCATTAGTGAATTGTTCACGAAAAAAAAAACCACCGACCCTTTGACCTTGTGTGATAAGTTGATGTGACTATACATTTTTATTGAGTTTTGTGAAAAATCTAAAATAAAATTTAACCACATTGTAGTCAAAGAAATCAGATGATCTGTTTCAATGGTAGCCAACATTATGTTGCAACAACAAAAAAAGACAGCAGCTGTAGTGGTGTTCAATACCTCAATGTATACCCAACAGATTATCTGTATCAGCTTGGTTTTGTTATTGGCAGAACACGTCCCACAGTAAAATCAATACGAAACATTGCAAAATATAATTGCTTCAATATTTTTTTTTTATCTTTCATAAATATGAAGAATATTACAACTCTGTGTATATACAAGTCTAATCATACAATTTTTAAAAAACATACAAAATGTATAACAAAGTATCATAAATAAATTACTCTAAATTAATGGCTATATATATCTGCAAAGTGGTTAGTTTGCTAAATACGAGTGTGAAATGAAAAAACTTACAGAGAGAAAAATCAGCCTGATAAAGTAATATGTTTGAAAATTATGCTTTAAATTTATTGAAAACATTTTTGTTTGGATGACAGAAAATGCAAGAACAAAAACTGAAAACCGAGTAAAAGATGAAACTAGAGATGCAGTGAGTTTTCTCCTCATATTTGTATAAAAACCATTATGCTAATTTATTGTGTTTATTGTTATGGTAACTTAACTAATGTTTATTCCATTACTCTACAATGATCTGAGAAAGACCCCAATGTAATAATTTTGGTGTTATGTTACACTGCATAAAAAAGAAAAACAGTAATTCACAAATTTCTAGAATTAATCCTAAAGAAGAGGGAAACTGAGGCACCAAACAACAAAAAATCAGCAAGTGCATTGTACAATGTTCTTTTGAATACTTAAATCAAATAATTGTTGATAAAACAGAAAAGTTTCCATTAACTACAATCCATAGCGACTAAAACTATTTTAATAACCAATTTTCTGCCTTTACATGTCTCTGCGAGTCATAGTAATCTGTAGTAATGATTTGGCAAATGCACTCTTGGTAAAAATATGTGAATAATGGTCATGGCATAGCACAGCAGATTTTGACCCCCGTTTTAACGAATAAAATAAAGTAAACACCTTTATATAGCTCATAATGGAGGGTGTTGACCTGTGCTGTGTGCAATAGTATAAATATATGTCAACCTGTTTTCATTTTCATTTGAAAATAATTGTCAAGATGACCTGATTTAGGTGACTAATTGAATATTATGAATAAACAGGAAGTAGGAATGTGTGGTTGTTTAAGCAAAAGAACATCATACAATAAAATTCTGCAGTTGGTTATCTCACTTCTCTGGGGACTTTGGATTAACAGATGTACAAAAAAATATAAAATAAATGCAACAATGATGAGCTTAATGCTTTATATACAATTGTTATGAAAAAACACACAGATCTAATATTTGTTATTGAAATTAATCTCGTGGATTCTAGATAAATGTAGAATAGTAGTACTCAATAGGTTACCTAGTTCTTATGCATAGAAAAAATGCATAGAAATTAATATGCGTAAAATATGTAAAGAAGATTTAAATATGCAAATTAACATAATGCAAATAAAGCAAACCTGTAAGTAGAGCTAAAATCATGATAACACTTTCTATCTTTGCATATTAATTAACGATGTGTTATCTCGAACAAATTGGAAAACAGTTGTCATGCTACATATATTTACACATTGTATACCTTGCATATTGAACACGTCAACCATGATGTTTGAATCAATTGAATGTTATCATTTTCCCCACCAAAACTATGATGCTACATTTTTATGTATTTGTCGCTTATTTCCTTGTTAATTTCCGTCCAAATGGACATAATTTCACATTCCCTACAGGTCTTGGTCAAAATTTTCAAAAAATATGGAATAAATTATGCAAGTTTATTTTTGTGAATTGTGATGAAAGTTGACATTGGTGTTGAAACGGTTAAAACAAAGATACTAATTTACTCACAACCTTTTAAAACGTTTGTGCCAGAATCTTTATCGAATGTAGTAAAAACAACAGATCAATCTTCAGCTTAATGTAAGGTAGACAATAAGATCTTATTCTGAATATATGAATACTAACTAAACAGTATGTAAATTAATAGTGTAAATATGCAAATTAATAGTGTAAATATGCAAATTAATAGTGTGAATATGCAAATTAAAAGGATTACTAGCTATAACAAAATTTGCAAGTATTTTTTGTAAAAGTAAATTTGTAAAATGTTTAAGTATTCAAATAATTTTAATTAATAAGTTTTGTTCAGGCAGTAGACTTCCTTAGGATTTACAACAAATCACTCAAAGTTAAAAACAAATGACTCAAAATCCACAAGAAAATAACATAGTTGGTGTTATAAGCTGCATATATTCCTCAGTAATTGATATCTCTTTCAGGTTCTGAGCAACAACATCCTGTTCATGATGAGTAGTTGAAGAGGGATACCTTGAAATGACTTCTGATGAATTCTACTAATGCAAGAATTTTGACATTTTCAATCAGGTGCATCTCACTTAAATTATCCCTGAATTGTGCGATGAATTAAGATGTGTTTTCACTTAAGATTACATAAGCACAGACAGACACATTACAATTTTAACATCAACAAAAAACTCAACTTTTCACAACAAAACATGGCCGAAACTTTTAAAATATCAAGCCATGGGGAAAATGAATGATTATAGACAGGGATTCAATTTAAGGAATTGGCATATTCAGTCAAACACATAAAAAACAATAACCCATGAAATTAAGAGCCTAATGAATATTAATGATTCAGAAGTACTTAAAAATAGACCCAAGATGGACATGGATGTTATCATAGTGAGCCCTCTAGAGTTCAAATAAAATTTATAGAGGGCGCATCATATTTTTTTTGTCACACCAAATTTTTAAGCTGATGCACTTATTTTTTTAGTTTTATTAGTTGCTTATTTTTTCGCAGCACTGTTGTCTGTCGGCAACAATTTATAGTTGGCACGAAAGAAAGTCAAACATGTCTAAAATAAACGTCCATCTGGGCAAAATAGATCACAGCTAATTTGCATATGGATTTTGCATTTTATCTTGTTCATCTGTTCTTCAAATCTCCAAAACGCAAGAATCATGGCAGTAGTTAATTATTAAAATATTATTTGGGGTTTTAAACACACTTTCAGGTTCCATCCACAATGATGGTATAACCGAAACTCCAGTTACATCATAAAAATCTGCAACTCACCCAATGCAAGGAAAAAAATTATTTTTAAATTTTGAGCGATTCCAGCAAAATTAGAGAAAATAGACATTCAACACCGAAATATTAATATTTACAGTTTAAGACACACGCGACATTCATCGTGTAATCACAGCATCGATGACATCATCAGACTCTATATCTATGTCAGCCGGCGTTTGATTGGGTGTAATCTTGTCCCCATCAAAGTAGAATGTAATATTATTTCTTGGTGTATCTATCAACTTGGCATAGTCATCCATCAACTTTTGTAGAGGAGAGGTCTGAGAAAGAATAATAGAGAAAAACTGTATCCAAAGAAATGCATTACCAGTGCTTTTATATTAACCCTCTTTATTATATATCTAGCATTGGAAGTAGAATTTATCGAAAAACATAATTTGTATTTGTTTGAAACATATTTGCACTACATACTACATCAGCAACCTACTACATTTGCACTACATACTACATCAGCAACAACATTGAACGTGATCCGATTATTGGCACCACATTCAAACATGTTCACTTATTTACGTTGGACGACGTGACATGTATTGCATGTGACAGAAAAAGAAGCTGGTTATGTACTGCAAATGTCAACGTAGACACAAATAAAATTGTTTTCACTTGCTGTATCAAATGACAAATTAATGTGCTAATTTGGCATCAACCAGATCTAGCCTACCAATAAGGTTCCCCACAATTTGCATCTTTTAGTGAATTAATCTCAGCCAACAGCTTCAGCCACCCGATTGAGTCTGTGGAACCCTCACCCAGCGTAGGATTGGTGTTAGTGTCTCTTTTTTTGCCCTACGTTACCACAGCCAGTGATTTGTAATTCAGTCCTTACCTTCTTAATACTAACTGTTTTCTTGGTTTTAGCGCCTTTGCTTTGTATTTTTATATCAATGCAGTTCTCTTTCTGATTCAATGGACTGTTTTGAGTCACTGACCCTGGTTCTAGAACGACACATTCTGAACAAATAATACAAACAATGGATTGTTATTTTCTATTCAACGATGAGAGAAAAAAAAAATTATTTTCTCATGCATCGTAGTGATAGTGCACCACACACAGCATAAGCAAAAAGTTTGTATTGACTGTTGCTACACAGTGAATATTCTATCATCATGGCCGCTATCGCCAAAAAGGTTAAATGTTCATTCATGCCTTCCATGCTGCATAATGAACGTATTCCGATAGAAGCAGAAAAAAAAATTACATCACCGAATGACATTTACAGCTACAGTATTAAAGTGGACCTACCGATAAAATCAGCAATATGCAAATTAACTGATCTTGGTGTATCCGTGGCAATTATAGAATCATTCCGCAGCGTCAGAGCAATTCTTTCAATGGGTACGTGAAATAAGTCCGCTAAAGTCTTTATCACAATTCCAAACGAGTCAGTCTGAGGAAAAAACGAGAACGATTGAAAAAAATAAATTAAAAAAAACCTTACTTTGAGCTGAGTACAATAAAAACCTTAGAAAATAAAAACATTGTTTAAAGACTAAAAAAACACAAGATTTCACAAGACTAAGATGTATTTCAGTACAGATTTTTGCAGAATAGCTAGACCATAAATTGTCCTGCTATAGGATTAATATACCCTGCGCATTCAATTTTACCTGAATTTGATTTTGCAGTGATATTCATTACATTTTAAATTCACTGGTTTGTGAAATAAACAGTACATTCCAGTGAACTAGTCACTGGTTTTTATTCTCAATCAGTGAAATAAAATGAAATAAGATAACCAACTAACAAATACAACATGTATAGTATGAAATTATTATTATGGAGAAACTGACCACCAGCCAAGCATATGCACTATAATCAAAAATTCACAAAACTGATCACAAGTTAGCCATACAAAGTGAAAGCCAGTTGGCAATGAAGAATCAAATCATAAAACTGATGGTCAGTCAGCCATGTACACAGACTCTTAAAACAAATGCATATCTCACTATATTTATCTACACACCAACTATTACAAATAGCAGTCTTTGCATCTCAGGGAAACCTATAGAAGCCTCATGATATACAAATTTAGAATAAATATCTTACCATTTTGAGGTCATACCTCTGGAGCCCACATTTACACTTGACTTTCACCTTGATGGTTTTTTCTTCAATGGTGGGTGATGCAAGTGTAAAGCTATCATCAGCTCCTGAAAATGGACTTTGAAATGAGTGGCTGTATTCATGCATGGAATTTAATGCTGCATTGACATTTCTGAAAAAGGAAAAAAATAATACTTTAGAAGGAAGAAATACACAATTATTAATCGACATTAATACGAGGATACCTCAAAGTATGCAGTCAGACAGTACGCCGCGCATCCAGCTGTACTGTCTTCGTGCATACAGTACTTTGAGGTATTCTCGTAATAACCTTATTATTATACATCTTTTCCTTCCAAGGATACACCATGGGAATGCCGAAATCCAAAATGTTTATAACAGGATCAGCAAACTTCTTTGTGGCAGCCATGTTTGTTTTTATTGTTAGAGGACGCTTGCGTGCGTAAACATTCCATATTTGGAATTCGCATTTCCTAATATGGTAGCATGAAAATACCCCGTAAAATATTGCAAAATTACGACACGTTGTAACTTATGGCGTTACAGTGACAGATGTATAACAATTGTTAGTATTAAGATTTATTAGGAATTATAAGGCACCCTCTTTGAGTTCGGGATTTATGCGGCTATTAATTTAAATAAAATAGTGAAAAAAAGAAATTTTTAATGTTTGCAGCGGAGTGAAAGGCTTCATCAAATAAATGACAATAGTCCAATAATATCAGGGGTACACAATGACTTTGTTAAATTTGACTTTGGTAGCCTTTTTGGATAGAAAAATAAGCAAATGCAAATTTATATAGGTTAATTATTTAAATACTAGTTCTAATACTCAAAGTTTTTTCTTCAGAAGCTAAAACAGCAAATCACAAAGAATAATTTAGCAAAGTTTCAGAAATGTTTTGTCCTAAAATTGTATTAGCTGTGACTATCTTAAACAGACTACTTCAACCGTAGCAAAGACAATCCTACTGCATTGTGGGATATATTCTGTGCAAGCATTAACACATGAAATTTTACATCTGTTGCTAGTGCATGCTGGGACACAAAGAATGAAACACCAATTGCCAGTGTGCCCTCTAACAGGAATGATTTGAAATATGTAAGGTCTCTTGAGTCAAAATGGAGGTCAACCAAAAGCAAGTTTGGTCAATTTGGTGACTGCAGAAGAGAGAGGTTTTCAAGAAAAGATTGTAAGTGACTGTTGGAAGCTTCTGAAGACACAAACTGAACTGTTGGTGCCTGTCTTTTCTTTGTTTTTACACTTATTTAGTTTCAAATTTAGAAATGTGAATTTCATTTTACCAAATAACAAATTTCATACCTATAGTAAGATGCTTTTCAAGATCAATGCTGTTGTGTCAATGACGCGTAAAGGAATAAGCATTAACTAGTTGATGACAGTAATGTACTGGGGTAGCACTAATTCACTCAGTAAGCATCTACCCATCGTCTGACAATTCTGGATGCTTTTTTTTTTCATTGTAGCCCGCATTAGCAACTGCAGTAAAACTATGAAAATTAGTGGACTCTACAAAACACACACAGTGGTATGTTAGGTTGTAAACTACTGTAAAAGACTATTTTAGCTGGAATTAATTTTCGCTGAAAAGACTTTTTGGGTGTTTTGTATTTTCACTAATATTTGACAAGGTGAATGTAAAATATAGGAAAAAAGGTATATTTGCTGGATTTTATTTTCACTGAATCATTCCTTCAGTGAAAATAAAATCCAAGCGATAATTAAGTACTTTACAGTACTCAGTGAGAGCAAACAAAGACAATACTAACTTGATAACTTTCATGTCTTTTTTATTTCGGACCGGCTGTTCCATGAACTGAGCATACAACGGTGGGGACGGTGGTGGAGATGGAGAGTCTGTAGAGACGTCATTCAAACGTTTTTCCTTTTCTGTTCTGTAAAAAACAAAAACATGAGCAGGCAATAAAACATAGAACAAATGACCATTTTGAGTTCACAGCAAGAACTAACATTATACATGAGATCAAACTGAAAACAGGACCAACAAGGGTCCTAGCGTCAAAAGGGGAACAAAAACATTGATTTCCATGCTTAATAATGAACTATACACATTTGATGATAGTTAATTTCGATGAAGTAAAGATATCTCAACACCATATTCTCCTCTGAATTTTGTCATAGTGCTAAAAAAAAAGTTCAAAATTAAATCATTTGATATTTGTAGCATAACGCCACACCTTTCACACAATATCTCATACTGAACAGAAAATAACTTATTATGCAAAAAATATTTGAAAAGTCTCAAGACCAAACACATTCAGTTGGAAATTTCTAGAGAAGATTTCATGAATTTTATTGAAGAAGATGATGACTCGCTATGTCAACAATGCATTGGATTTACCAAATAAGCTTTAAATTTTCAAAATAACTTAAAAGAAATTACAATTTTATTATTATTATTATTACAACCAGACAGCAAAAAACAGATTGAATCGAATAAGTGAATGACTTACGTAACACCGATACACTCCAGTTCGTTCTCAGAGTTTTCATTGGATGACAGAACAATGCTCATGTCTTTCTTTTTTTTCTTCCTTTTTTTTTCTTTTGGATTTCTTGATAAAATCAAGTTATAGTCTTCATCATCTAACAGTGATAACAAAGTTTAAAAAACTTATGTATAGAAATTTTTAAGTTAGGTTTAGTTCAGCAGGACTGCATTATTTTCTCTGAACCTCTGTAAATCTCTGTAAATAGTGTACATCAGAAGTATTTTAAAGCATGCCTCTGCAGAGTGGTCCTTCTGGCAAACGCAATGACTGAACAATATTGAGAATATCCAAATAAAATTCATGAAATGATTTAGTTTCAAAACACACCATCCCTACGACAGGGGTAAATATCATGCCTCTTTGCCAACATTTTAATCTATCACTACTGCATATAAGACACTTTTTAGATGCTATATTTTATTAAAATGTGTCAACACATTGTTTGCTGTTGCAATTTTTTCCATTCATTCGGGGGTCTAAATTAAAAAATAAAATACCTCCTTGTTCACAATGGGACAACGACTCTTAGAAAATGGCTGTCCATATGAAAATGTTATTGTTCAATAATTTTTATTGATTTTTACAGCAAGTCTCAGAAGTATTGGGGCAGCCAATTTGCAAACTCACTAGCGAATTGGCTAACTGCTTGGGTTTTGACTAAACAGCTTTTTGGTCGCGTCCACTCCACAGTCTTGATTTGGTTGCCTATATAGCCGGCAATATTAAACCCTGATTTATTTCAGCTATCTGTGGAGGTAATGATTATTACAAGGATACCACACACAAGTATGAACAGAAACATTACTTGTGACCATCTCTTTGTTTTTTATACATCATCATTATACATGTACAGTTCACCATGTAAATTACAGCATGTCAAATATATCACAGGATATCAGTAACCTACCATATTAGGAAATGCAAATTCCAAATATGGAATGATTGATTAGACAGAATTTCCAAGATGGCAGACGTTTTTGAAAACAAAATTTATGTTTGTATTATTGCCTATATGTGACATTTACACCTCAAAATAAATAATTACTAGTTTACAACAGATTGTGATAACAAATGACATGTATCAATACTATCATCACAAAACGTACTCCACAATACTAGGTGCATGCTGATGTTTTGGAGAAAGTAATATGATATTTTGTTCACCATAAATCAACTTGAATATCCCCAAGAAAGAAATATGATGATATTCCCACGGTGCATGAAAGAAACATTCACATGTTCGTAAAAACTGATGGCTAAAAATTTGAAGTTGAAAAGATGGCGGACACACACAACTTTCCAGCTAGCCAGGCAGCCAATAAATTAGACTCGATTTTCAATGAGAGCAAAGCTGAAAAAACAAAAAGAAATAAAAAGTTTTTACCTGAATCTCCCAATTCTGTTATCTTCAATTTATCGGGAGGTTTGAAACGCAACAAATCATCACTAACTTTGTATATGCTACAAACTGATTTGGAGGTGATTGCTACTGGTCTGGCCCTCCTCCTGGTTGCTGCTCTTTTTTTCTTGACTGGCACATCACTGTCTGAACCATCACTCATCTAAAAATTGTCAATATTTTAGAAATAAAACTATTAACATTCTGTTGTTGTTAGAAAGGCAATATGAATAACAATTATTATTATACATATGTCACCGCAATGGTATAAGTTACGGCGTGCCGTAATTTTGCGGTATTGCATGGTTTTTTTTCATCCTATCATATTGAAAATGTGAATTCCAAATACAGAACGATTATGCGCGTAAGCTTCCTCTAATAATAAAAACAAACATGGAAGCCCCAGAGTTTGACCGGACCACATACAAAGAAGTTCGCTCAATCTGTTCTAAACTTTTTGCATTTTGCATTTCGGCATTCCCATGATGTATCCTTGAAAGGAAAAGAGGTATAATAATAAGGTTATTATGAGGACACGGAAAAAGACAGTACATGGTAGCACTGACCTCTGCTGCGTGTCGGGCGATACTATTGCTGTACTGTATTCGTGCATACTTTTCGGTATCCTCGTAATAACCACATGTTATACATCTGACACCTGTCCGAAAAACTGCATTAAACTGCACGAAAGTGTTACGGATATGTTCCATATTTTGAAATTGTGCGTCATGTTCACGTCATTCACTTATTCACTACAGACGGACAGTGTTCTCACCAGGCTGCGCCCTTGCATCATTAGTACATTATTTTAAAATTTAGCGCAAAATTTCGATTGAATCAGGCCACATTTGGTGCAGAAAAAAAAATTGCATCCAAACGGCTTTCCCATTTTGACCGCATGATGGCGCTTTCAACGTAGTAAATAAATCCCTGGAGGGGTCCCTTAATTGAGCAATGTCTAGCAATATACGCAACCCATTTCACGCCTCATGAAATGGTCGCCATGAGCAAGCCGTTTGCCAGAACCCTGATTCGGTACAGACACGCAAAATGCAAATGGTATTAATTCTGGTAGCGTAGTTGCGACTGTGAAGAGTGTCACTAATAATAAAGTCAAGGAACATGGACGATTTCAGTGAATTTGGTTAACAACTCATCCATGGCTGAAATACAGGAATGAAGAAAATTTGATGTACTCTAGTTGGTGTATATTTTCAAAAAAATAATACTGCTATGACACGGGGAAGTAATAATTTAAAAACTAATAATAATGGAATAAACATGTGTTAAGCTAATGTGTGATGACTGTATGACTATTTATTATTGTTAACTCAATAAAGGCTGCAATTTCACCTTGACCCAATTTTATTTAATCATTGATGGTTACACCATGGAAATGTTCATCCTTTGACAGGTAGGTGGACATTTCCCTAAACTAACCTACCTCGGCCTCATTTTATAATTTATGGCCCTGCTTTTTTTAAACGATGGGTCTTTATGGCCCAACAAAAACAGAATCTGGTGAGGACACTGGACGGAGGAGTGCTGTTAGCATATGATAGAAATAAATTCCTGTCACTAAACGCAAACGTTTGTTACACGATGGCTGATACAATCATGCATACTTTGTGGTTTGGTGGTAATAATCTCATAGTATTTTATTGGTGTTGCATGTTCATACAAGCCATTGACGCTAGATTACCACCACCCATTATCAGACAAAATGATATAAGACAAGCGCCCTCAATGGTCAGGCATTTCTGGAAAAAGTCTGGTGGAATGGTCGAAATAGAAACGTATAACCAGTAGACGCTTTGGTCCTAAATTTAGTCGCAAAATGTTGAAACTCGGATGAGTATGACTTTCACAGGATGGGTGTAAAAATGGCCGGAATAAATCGTGTTTGTTGCCGATCATTTTGAGCTACATTATGTCAGATCATGGAGCTCCATGGTCAGATCGCCTCCGCACTGAAACGGCATTGAACTATAGACTTAAACTGTGTGTCCACGATAGGGAGGTCTTTGTTTAGAGGTGTCTAACAACAAAAGCCATCATCATTCGACGAGGCATCGCCAGAACGCCCCCGCAACATAAACGTACCACCATAATACATATAATAACATTGAATCTGTAGAATAAACGTCAAAGTCCGCGTCCGGTTATTGCGAGTACTAGTACATTTGAAGTTGTTTTAAGCCGGGAATTAAACAGTAATGATGTCACATTATAAATATGCAGTAAAATACGACGTAAAAAATTACCGTGTCTCTGATCCTCTTACCACACCTCACGTCCTCCACGACAGATAAATCATCATCACTCAAAACTTCCGCCATTATGGAAAACCCCCTGACATCACGTCCAAGTATTCCCGCGATCTCGCGGAATAGGTGACCACCGAACTCGGCCAGATTTCTACTCGGCCAGTGACCGTACTCGGCCAGCATATATGTTAATGGTTTGTCAAAGGGTGTGATCTCAGTGATGCTACAGCGAGCGCTGTATTACAATTACAATGACCAGTTTACACCTCGACATTCACAACTGGCCGAGTTGTACATTTTTTCTTGGCCGAGTTGAAATCTGGCCGAGTTCGGTTGTATTCTATTCACGGAAACAAAATGGCGGAAGGTGAGTGTGTCATTGTGGATGTTCGTCTTTTCATGTATATCGTACGATCTATTGAGAAAGGTCGCGTTTCCTTTATATCTTTAGAAGCTATTTCTCATGGCTATGTTTCTAAACCTATACCGACGTACGAATCGATGCATTTCTGTCGTAACACTTCACTTCCACCGTCCGAGTGGGTTGGGCCCCAGGCACTCAGGCAGGATTTCAACTCGGTCGGAGATCGTTGTGTCGTCACCTGCAGCGTCAATGGGTCGGAGGTGCGACTCGTGCACGCATCGGTGTACGCCGTCAACGTACACACCGGGTTCAGCTTCATCAATCGCGCGTGATTATTACCTACTGCGTTAATAATGGTCCAATTTGCATAAATCTTTGGTCGCACGATTAAATAAATGTGACATGTTTGAGGTAACCAAACCATAACAATTATCAATATATAGACGATAAATTATTGCCAGATTCGAAAATGAGACATATTCAGTGAGGGAGTGAGTAATTAAAAATACTCATGAACGATCTACTTAGACTAGCCTAGGTGGGTGGATACTGTCCAACAGTATCCTATATTTACACTGCATGTTTAATTATTAATATGCTATATGTTGTTATTTATTTTCATCAGAAACGACATAATAACTCGAAATTCATATAACTAAATTAAATAAAAAAATATGATTAGTGAGAGTTACTGAACATGTTGCTCACATGTGGAGCATGAAAAAAGTTTAGAAGAAATAAACATATTCATGACCTTACATCATTAATAATTAACCATGAACAAAGTGCTACGTATGTAGTACAAAATGAAATTAAATTACTGTAATAAAGTATATATCTGTAATAAATTCATTGTGCAACTTTATTAAATGAATTAAAATATGTAGATCCCATGTGGTTAATAAGGTTACAAATTAATTACAAAATATCTTTACATTTTAAAGCACAATCATATATGACTACCGGTACTTCCTCAAAATGGAGTATGGTTACGAATGTCGTATTAAATCCCATTAAATAACGGAACATGGGTAAACCTAGGTCAGATTGGAGATTCCATTTTCAGTAGAATGCAATAAATTATTTAATACTGTGTCTGTTAGGGATTCATTGTTTCAATCAAGAAAATTAACACCCAATAGTTCATTAGCGATTCTACCAGCAAAACAATTCATTTTGTAACTAAGTATTGAACGAATACACTAATTGTTTATTCAAATCAGATCAGTCCCCATTAGCCAAAGTTACTCTGGTAATGCCTATTAACTGTGAGTCTGAGTCTTTTCTTCAATCATTGTCGACATAGATCCTATGAATTCAGAAATAAATTCAAAATACTTTGAAACATAGATTCTATGGTCAGATTTATATTTTTGATATTACAAGTACACTGAATTAAAAAAGGCATGTGTTTTATAAATCATTAATAAATTTATCTATTTATAAACCCAAGCAACAGTCATCGGGACTCATGTTGTGAGCATGTGCAGAGTGATCTTGGCTGTTCTACTTTCTGATTGGTAAATACGTGGAGGGAGGCACCTGCCTAGCCAATCCAATTGTCTAGATTGAAGTTGAATGTACTTCACTATATACATATTCATTTTGTAGGTAGCAAGAAAATTATCACAATGGGTCATATTCATTCTTAAAGCCTCATGGTTGGTTAGCTGATTAAGCTTCAATCATCTTTTGAAATTTATAAACAATTTTATAATATTTTATATTGAAAAAAGTACTTATCACTTTCTAAAATGCAGTGTACTTGTAGCTGTGGGTTAGGTTTAAATACATTTCTAGAACTCATTTTTAGACTCTAAAAGACTTGAAAACCATCTAACCAATCACAACCACTGATAATTTGATGTGACTAGTGCAGGACTAATGTGTGGTAACTAGAGGCTAAAGTACTGTAAAATGACTAATTTTCACTGGGTTTAAATTTCGCTGATTTACTATTTCAGGTATATTCAGTGGGTTTTAAATTCACAGTTTTATCATTTAGATAATGTGTTCTATGCTAAATTTTACATATTCATTGGGTTTTCATTTAGCGCATTTTCCAGTCAGCAAAATGAGCAAAATTAAACCCAGTGATTAATTAACTCCTTTAGAGTATTCAAATGCATTTCTGAATTTGCTTCTAATTATAAAGTTGAATCTTCTCACTTGATTGGATATATACTTTGTGGATAAAGGGCTAAAGAATGGCACTGGTACCGTGCAACTGTTCACTTATTTAAATTACAGATTTTGCTGATTGAAAGATGTTGACCTAACTCATTACCATATTAATTTATTCTCTCTGTTATTTCAAAACACCATTTCTGGATTGGTCAATTGGAATTCTAATTTTGAATTTATAAAAATGATATCATTTATATCGCTTACACTTTTTCATCCCACACTATAAGAATTATAACTTCTCTTTTGAATTGAATCTACATTTATGAATATTTATAAACATGAATATTTATCGATTTATCCTGAGGCACTACGTTATAAGTGCATAATTAATATAAGTATCTACATGTTATGACAAAAACTCTCTTTTTCTTTTGCAGCTGCTGAAATTGAAAAATTGCAGCGTCATCTTGACCTACTGCGGCAAGAGTATGTCAAACTACAAAACAAACTTGCTCAGGTGGAACAGAAATATAGCATATCCGCGGCAGCCAGTGGTAACCTAGAAGAAGACAGCTTTGTCTCCAGACTGTTGAAAACTGTAGCTGATCTCTTTGATAGAGAACTGTACAGGTTTGTCACAAGCAGTTTTGTTGTTCTATTTAGGATGGTGAATGTTGAAATGCACTAATTCAATATGGGTCACATACGGTAGTACTCTTGTGGATAAAATACTTTGTTCATCTGCACCAAGTTAAAATTTAAACAGGTCGACATATGATGTAAAATTTTGCATAATTTGGTGAAGGTTTTCCACAGGAAAATAATTAAATATTATCTCCTTCTAATTATTGCTCAATTCTCCTCCCCTCCATGCATAGTGTTCATATATATTAATTAATACAGTACTGTATACTACTTTTAATGGTTTTCTCTTGGAATTTATTTTTGTTATTTTCACTGGAAAGTTTATTTAATTTCTCTGAATTCATTTTAAGTATTAACAAATATGCAGCTTACAGAATTTGATGAATGATTTCAAATGTTGGTCTTCCTCTCTTGTGAAAGATTACAAGAGCTGACAAAGCAGTGACAAGATCAATATTGGTGGTGAAGGGGTTAATAACTGGAATATTAATTAAAACTCGCTCACTTTGTTACCAGAAAACCAACTCATTTCCTCCCATGTATTTTTCTTGTCTTAGTGATCTTACAGTTAAATTAGAGGGTCATGTCCTGAAGGCTCACAAGTTTGTTTTAGCAGCTCGTAGTGATGCATGGGGCGTACCAGACCTGGCCAATGTCCAGTCGTTAGATTTCACAGGTATTGTAGCTTGTACATTGAAGTGTTAGTAAATACATGTAATGAATTTGCTTCATATAGTACCACATAAACTAGATACATGACATAGTTGTCTATTGTTAAATAATTCATATTTTAATGATCCACCGTACTAGTTTATATGCACCTGAGATGCATTCATAATAGGGCAAACATGCTATAATGGTTTATATTCTTCGTACCGTACTGTCCCAAAAGTACAGATACCATACCATACATGAGCTCAGGGCCTCAACGTGTGAAATTAGGAACACATTACTCCCTCGAAAGATTATTCAAATAACAATAGTACAGGTGTTACGTCATCATTGTTTTTCACGAAGAAATTTGAAATATGCAGATTGTTTTACAATATATTTACATACCATTTCATTTATGGTATAAAAATTATTAATGTCCGTGGAGAAACAGTCGAAGACGAGATCTTCATCATTATCTTTGTTCTGCAGTGTTTTCAATTGTACAAGAAATTTCGCTACAAAGCAATTTCTGCCATGTTGTTTTTCTGAGCATGATTTGATCTGAAAAACGTCTCCTGACCTTACTGGTTACATGCGAGTTTGTTATTAACCAATCAGAATGCTGTGTCATACTAATGTAATTCTCCAGAAATGTTCAATTATTGACGATGATAAATACTGTAAATTGCTTTAATTTCAGTACAAACAAATTTTTTTTTAAATTTCTCAATCAGTAAAAGTAGTGAGATTTTGTAGCATTGAAAATTTATCTATGGTACTATAAAACAGAGTGTTAGCGACTTTTGCGTAATTTTGTCTTTTCTATATAATCAATTCCTAGCAACCAAAATTAAATGACTGGGGGTATCACTTTTCATGACTAATATGATGTTGTTGTTTTTCTTCACCATAGACATACCATATGATGTTGTTGTTTTTCTTCACCATAGACATACCATATGATGTTGTTGTTTTTCTTCACCATAGACATACCATATGATGTTGGGGTTTGTTTAATGAAATGGGTTTATACCGACCAAGCGGACATGAAATCCGACGACACATTTGTCTTACAGCTTTTGAAAGCTGCCAGTAGATATAAATTAGATGGGTTGAGAGATAGGTGAGAATGCTCATTTTTGCTAGTTTATAATAGTATTATTTACCCATTTTGTACATTTTTCATTTTTTGCCTGAACATGAAAACTGATCTTTATAATTTGTGCACACTCACTTCTCACTCAAGTTGTAAATATTAAATATGTCCTTTTAATTTGCGATCTCATTGTGGTTTTAAACTTGTGTCTTTAGGCATGGAAATCATTTATTGGTCTATTCCGTTAATTTGTTCATTTCTAGGTGTGAAAAAGCATTGATGTCCTCAGTGAATGTCAGGAATTGTATTAAATTTTATGCCACAGCTGATGAAATTCAAGCCAATGTTCTCCGAGAGTACTGCTCTGAGATTATTTCAAATCACTGGGTATGTTTCATATTAAAGTCGTCCTGCAGGTTTTATGTAAACAAATACTGGGTATTCTCTTTTACACCTGTTGTATATGTTGCATGGGACCCATATCAAACATTACGTCAATTACGTCAATGATATGGATGACTTATGCAAATGATACCTGATTTTATTACCAACATATCCTTACTTACGTGCAAAAATGATTGATTGAACCAAAACTATCCTTGTCCAAAACATTTCCTTGATCTAAATCTAGAAGCGTTTTCCTGAATTTTGTGATGTCTGGAAAATTGCAAAATATAGTAGTGCACATTTCACTGATTTCTAGTTGCAAAAAAATAACAGTAGGTTGTTTGTGACACATAAATATCTCTTTTTTTTTCTCCCAGGGTGACTTCAGTAGCCCTGATTTTCCAGCATGACTG